ATATATGAAAAGAAAAAACAAAACATAGATGATATTTAGTTATGCTCTATTAAAATTTATAATCAATTGAAGTTTTGTATAAAGATGATATTCAAACTAGCGAAGCAGCAGGTTTTATAAATATATATTTACCCATTAGTTGATTTCCATTTCGAATATCTCACAGAACCTTCATAAAGAATTTCATTTCTCAATTCTCAACGTATGTTGCTTTCTTTTCTATTTGATTTTTGTCTCATTTTTTTGGAAGTCGAAAAACAAAAATAAGTTTATAAATATAAATAGTCTAGAGTGTTAAAAATAAAAACAAAACAAAATCAAAACGTAACGTAGCTCATTCAAATTTTAAAAGTAAAACAAAAAGAAAACGTAATTTTTGAATCTTCTCGTATAATAAAAGCAAATCTTGTACAATTTGGATGATGGAGCCGTGAGGCCCGCCCAACTTAAAGAGTATACAACCAAACAAACCAAACCAAACAGTTACCCTCTACATATTAATTATATACAATTGCATATAGTACATTTAACCTAAGGAATCATAATCCAAATCAAATGAAATGAAACTCTTTACGATCAGCGCGACATATAGCCAAACAGCAGCTGCAGCTGGACACAATAACAAAAACGATAGAAACGGAAAGCAAATTCATGTTAGTTAGGATCGGGTGTATCGATTATAATGTCTAATACATTATACCGAAAAGATAATGCTAATGGTAAATGGTAATGTTAGTAGTTATAGTGAAATTTGTTGAGTGCATATTTATATATATTCATACAAGTATATAGATACACGCATAACAAAACAAGCCGTAACACCAACAGAGATGTTAGAAGATCCGTAATGAATTAACAGAAGTAATTGTAAAGTAAAAATCCAAGTCAAGGTACATCAAGTTATAAAATACACATACATATAACATGAATTACACATTTAAGAAAGATTATATAAAAACAAAAACAAAACAAAAAAAATAATAAAGAATATATTAAAAGAAACAGATTTTTTCATTAGTCTTCGACTTGATGATTTCATTCAATTTTAATGTATATCTAATTTTTGATTTTACTTAAAATAAACTAGAGTTTTTATTTGGAAATGCAGACTCTTTTTTCAGATAGTGATTACAATTTATTTATTGGCCAGCTTGGCTGGACAGTCGGGCTGACGGTGAGGATGACAGGCAAGAAAAATTTCATTTGCTGCCAATCTCTGATCGAGCTCCACAATTTTCGGAAATGCATCCAGGTTGACTTTGTATCTGAAAGATGAAATATGCTTTAGAAGCTTCCGTTCAATTGATTTGTATATAGAGCTCACCGTCTGGCATTGAAAACCTGTGGAACAAGACAGCAATCTGCCATGGAGATCTCGTCCCCCACACAGTACTTGCTAGAGGAAGTGGCAAGCACTCCCTCCAGGCCACGAAAACCCCGTGATATCCAATGCTGCGCCCACGCCATGCTTGCTTCCTTACCCAGGTGCTCTAGAACGATGCGATTCTGCAATGGCTGAATGCCTGAGCAAATTATCTCGACAATCTCGCGCACCTTGGCACGTTTCAGCGGGTCTTGCGGCAGCAACGGGTTCTGGGGTCGAGTTTCGTCCAGATAATGCATAATCACCACGGAGTCACACAGTGTCTGGCCATCTAAACATCTAAACCTGATCATCTTGTGACTTCATCGATTCCTCCAAACTCACCAATTTTGAGTGCTGGCACCTGCTGCATGGGATTAATCTCCCGGTACTCATTCGTATAGCAGTAGGTTTCATCGGGCTTGATCAGATTGGTTGGCCTGATATCATACGGAATGTCCTTCAAGCCCAATGCAATGCGCACTCGCCAGGAACACGAACTGGCGAAATACGAGTAGAGCACTGGCCTTGCATCACTGGACATCGTAGAACTGGAACTGGAACTACGTATACCATTCTTGGTCAACTGCAGACATTTTCCTGCTGAGCTTCTCAATCCACTCATGTTCATTGCACTTGACTTGGTTAAATCAATCAATATTATTTTATTCGTTTGTTTATATACATATGTATGGGTTTGCATTCAGTGAGCGAATGCAGCTCTTATCAGTGGTTGGACTATCGATGCTACAAATATCGATACATCGCTCACGCAAGCTATTCAATATTTGTTAACAGCAAGTGATCGACACAATTTAGTTCGGTAAGAAGTTTATTTGGTTTTTCTTGTTCTTGTTTGTAATACATATGTAATTAATATTTGGAACTGTTACAATATTGTGGGTATTAACATAGTATATGTTAGTCGGTTGGATGCGAGACCAGGCAATTCGATTTATATGTAGCCACCTGATAGCGATTTGCGGGTTTGTTTTGAAAAGGTCTACAATGAAATGGATTTGAAGAAAACTAGCAATCAACTGCTACATACAATATATTCGTTAGGTGCATACGATTTAATGGGGCTTTTCATTTGGCTTGTGCTTTTTAGTTAAATACAGAGTCTACATTTGACTTGTTCAAATACATAGTAGATATACTTTTGTTTTAGCAAAGAGACATTTAATTATTTGATTTGTTATAGTATATTTTAGTCACAGGAGAACTCTATAGCGCTCCGATTAAATGCCTAAGTATGGTAAGTGTGAATGAGTTCCTTATATGTATACTCTCAATAATTTGTTAGTTATTCTTTTGGTTTTTCGGTTCTGCCAGCTAATGGAGTTTACTTCCTCGTTGACTGAAGTTTTGTACTTTCATCAAAAAGTTACGTTGTAAAGCGCCCAACTTTTCTAGTTAACTTACATATGTATGCATACGTGTATACGATTGCGCGTTTTAGTTTAGAGAATGTAAATTTGCACTTAAATTATTTTCATTTTTTAAATCCCTGAATTAAATTTTGCTTTTCGTCATGATTAAGTTTGCAAATTGTTTGTAGTTTTTTTCGTTTTTGTTTTTTTTTTTTTTTTAGTTTTTAAATTTGTTTTGTTTCTGTTAGCCTAAATAAAATTCATAAAAATACGTTTTTACATATGAGTTCATCTTTTAGACAATTTGTTTTCACATTGATAAACCAAAGAAATAATACAATTTTTAAATCATGTTTTTTTTTCTTTTTGAGAATAATTAATATTGTTTTTGGTTTGGTTTTGAATGCCAATTAAAAATTTTATTTTTATCGATAGTATTTTTATGCATTTATGCATAGTTAAATGCTGTTAGCAATTTTTTGAATCACATCCGACTGTTTCTCTCCGCCTCACCAGCTGACTCTCCAGCTCCAAACTTATATCTGTTGCCGCCTTGTTGGGTTTCCGCCTGTTATAGATGTACTATGGGTGTTACAAACTGCAATTCACTTTTTAGTTTTACGGCGTTTTGCAGTTGTCATCGGAAAATTCTATTTGTTGGGCAGCTCCGGTGGACAATCCGGCTGATTGGAAGGATGAGCAGCTCGGAATGCTGGATTGCTCTCCAGCTCGCGATCAATCCGCAATATAATGGGATATGGGCGCAAGTCCACATGGAATCTGCGAGGCAATCAGTGGAGTCACAAATATACTTGGAATAATGCTGAAATGTACGACTTACCTTCGGGCATTGAACACCTGCGGCACGAGGCAGCAGTCGGCCATTGAGATCTCGTCACCAACGCAGTATTTGCCAGCCGATGTGGACAGGGCCTTCTCCACGGCACGGAAGCCACGTGTTATCCAGTGCTGTGCCCACTCCTTCTTCTTTTCCTCGCCGACGTGGATGAGTACAATGAGGTTCTGAAGCGGTTGAATGCCAGAGCAAATGATCTCAATTATCTCGCGGACCTTGGCCCGCTTGTGTACATCTTGTGGCAGCAAAGGACGTTGGGGACGGGTCTCCTCCAGGTAGTGCATGATGGCCACCGATTCGATCAGCGTATGCCCATCTAAATGGAGAGTTGCAATGGAGAAGAACTTAGAAATGACTAGCCACATGGCATCATTGCTCTAGTTACCAATTTGCAGGGCCGGCACCTGCTCCATAGGATTAACCTCTCGATACTCATTGCAGTGCTGCTCTCCGCCCGACTTGATGAGACTTATGGGCTTGATGTCGTAGGGTATTTCCTTCAGGTTCATCGCAATGCGCACTCGCCAGGAGCACGAACTGCGCCAATACGAGTAGAGTATCGGCTGGGAATCATTAGAATCTTGATTAGTCGACATTTTCGTAGAGTTCCCTGTGCCCCAGTTGCCAACTCGAGCCGTACCGGCCTCAAAATGAAACCACAATCTCAACGAGCTGCCGTATCAGCCCCCTTTTGAGAGATGTGTGCCGCTCTCATTTGAATAAACAATTTAAGTCGACATAGAACAGGTTGGCACTGATAACGCACACACACACACACATCAACACGAAGAATAATAGCACACACCCTCTACGCATGTTTAGAATAAAGCTCTGGTGAAACCAGTTCCTCGAGAGCCTAACAGATTTATAAGCAGTGCTGATAAAAATACATATTCATGAAGGTATATCCGGGCTGCGGTCACACCGGTTTCTACAACTGGAATTGGCCAGTGTGGCAGCCACTTTATAGTTAGTTTGAATATATTATAATACTACTTTTAATAATAATATATTATGACTAAACAATTTATTGTTGTTTATTCAGCCCATTTTGCTGTTATTGTATGTATCACATTCTTGGAATAACTGAAGTCCGCTATTTTCAAAAAGAAATATTTCATTTGTTTTCAATATACAATATTCTAATCCAAAAATGCATACATATTAGTAGCCTTAACATTCGGGGATTATAATTTAACTAAATGAGTAACTTAAATAACAAGTTTTACAGAGATTACTACTACTTTCTCGGTTCTCTTAGGTCAGTGATAAAATACATTCAATTCTGACATATGGCCTACGGTAAGGCTAACAGTATCTTCTGTATGAATCCACATAAGATTAGGCAACACAACAAGAATGGAGGATAGGGATAGGGCCTCGAAAATAAAAATATTTATCAGCAGTAGTACAGCATCACAAAAAATAAATAATATAACCTCGTAACTCATAAAACAACATCCTACGAGGTTTTCTAGGTAAGTTTAAGATTTCCATATTCATTGGTGTTAAGTTTCTCGATTTCCTAAGCAGAAAAAAATGAGGCTGTGCGACTAGGAGAATGACGAATTGTGAACATTTTGTATCTACCAGAGATTAGCTTTTAAGGGTGGATTAGGCTGACTCTCTAAGCTAATAGACCAATAAATTATATAGCCGGCAATCAGGTCGTAGCAAACCTGTAAATATTAATAACATTATCACTCAAAATTCTCTAGGAAAATTTACTAATGTTGAAGCCACACGATCTATTTTTTGTTTGTTTGTTTTTTTTTTTTTTGTTTTTTTGATTTGTTTTGTTTTTTGTGATTTAAACCATTATTTATTATTTTTGAAAATGAGCTTTTTCCAAAGAGGAAATAATTGATAGAATCGGTATAAAAAATTGAGAAATTGAGCAGTTAGTTACCGCCGACTGCATCGTTTTTAATGTTAAATATCTTACGTCCTGAAATTGTTGAAATTGTTTTTATTCAATGTCGATTTGCAACATGAGAACTTTAGCAGGAATTTTTTAGCTTTTTAACACTATTGAATTAATTATTAATTATTTAATTTGTTTTTCCATATTTCCATAATTTAGATAAGCTGCCTGAAAGTATGCTACGACAAATATAACTTCCGTCTTCAGACGACTTCAATTTAATTTATTTGGAAAGGTTCAAGGCATCTTTGTGGTTTATTATCAACCCTACATATTATACGAATATCACCCGTCGGATTAATTACTACTAATTTAAGTCAATAGTTTCACAGGCGTTAAGTATATTTTCAATTGGAATATTTCGCAAGAAGCCCAATTTAACTTGACTAAATTATTAATTTCGAACACAATTAGTTCTAGCCTCTTCTATTGGAATACCCACATGATTCATATAGGGGCCTTGTGCTAATTGCCAATTGCTGCAAGCGCTACGGAAGTTATACACACACTGACCGCCCGTGCCGAAGGACTAAATGCTCTGAGCAACAGTAACATGAGCCAATGGCCCGGACAAGCGTCAAAATAATATGAATGTAGGTATGTGTGTGTGCGCATGCATCTATATACAAAGGACCCTATTCTGTTCGGCCAAAAAGCAGACGAATTCCAGGAATAAGCGCCAGTCCACATAGGCCAACAAAGAGCGATGGGTCTGGTCTGTATGTATGTTCAGATACATACATACATAGGGGAGCATAATAAGTTGCCTAAAAGTTCGTTGAACCCATGTGAAAGTAAATTCGGAAACATCCCGAGAATGCCAGGGAGCCGAGAGTAGGCCGAGTCGGCGCCGAGTTCCGATGTGTGTCGTACATCAAGGTCGGCTAGGGGCATTAACCTTAACCAATTTGACGTTGTCCTGGTTGCTACCAAGCAAAAGCAAGCCTGTACGACGCGCCAAGGACACTCGCAGACGGCCACGGCACGGCGCGCTCAAGAGTCAGCGCGAGCGCTGCAACAAAATGGCTCACAAGTTTCGCTGGGGTGCTTTTCACTGATTAGGGGTTGCTTTTGAGAGCCGAAGTTTGAGTTGTGTGCGACGAGCAGGGTTGTCGAGTCCGCCTCCTGCTGCATACATCTGCCGCGGTGTCCTGCTCCCGAGCACAGCCTGGCAGCCCTGGACGCGGCATTTCACAGTGCGAAGAACAGCGCAAAAGCTTTCGGCTATGCGCATGGGCAAAAACCGCATGTTTGCAGTATGAGTTTAACTCAAACCAACTGACAGTCTTTGGCGGCGTAGGATGAGTGAGTTTTCAGCAAGCATTTCATTTTTTAACACCGGGGGCACCGAGCACGGAGGGAGCACTTACCTTGGCTATGGCCGAGAGGGACATAGCGTTGTGATGATACTTTGAGTAGTTAATTTTGAAGCCGTTTAAGCCGGACGCACTGCGAAAACGATAATTGGCGGACCGGACGGGGGTGGAG